TAAGGCCTTACTCCTTCCACTTTTTAAGCAGCACGAGTTACTCAAGGAACTGGGAAGAAACACATGGACATGAAGTGTCTCCTATGAAATCCTACCTTTTAAGGTAGTTCTGGAGAGGAGATCATAGAATTTTAGGGGTTGGAATGGACCTTAGAGATCATCTAGTCCCAATCACCCATGCCATAGGTAGGGACACCTCCCACTAGACCAGGTAGCTCAAGGCTCCATCCAACCTGGCTGTGAATACTGTCAGGGGTGGGGCAGCCACAGCCTCCCTGGGCAACCTGGGACACTGTCTCACCACTCTCGCAAAAAACCACCAACTTCTTCCTAACACTTAATCTAAATTTCCCCTCCTTCAATTTGTACCCATTGCCCCTTGTCTTGTCACTGCAGCTCCTGACAAACAGTACAAGTAGCTCACAGCTCCTAAGGGCCAGTTAACACCATTCATGATCAGGGAAGGAAAATTCTCTCACCTAGGTCATCCAAGAGTGTGCACTTTCTTCTACAAAAGTCTGTGCCCCAGGAGTCAAGCATTTCTTTTTTTTTCTTTTTTTTTTTTTTGGCAGGAGCAATCTAGACTCTTACAATGTTTTAGAACTCACTCTGCAGTAAGCCATTCCTAATGCCATTTTGAGGAACAGCACAGTCTATGAAAGGACAGTCTGTGGAAGTTTGAGAAAGACACCAAAGGCAAAACACAGGCTGGAGGAATTGCTGCCTACTTAGCACAACCCACTCAGCCTGTGTATTTAGTGAATCACAGAGGGTAGCATGAAAAAGCCTCCAACAGCTCAAATAAGGAATAGGCATATGTATGAAGACTTAGGACAGTTACACATTCACAATCAATATGCATGTACAAAAAAAGTACAATTTTTCATGTACTGTATCAATCAAAACTGGAAGGAGTCAGCAGTTGCCTTCCTTCGTCATTAAAGTTTGAACACTTCCCAGAAAAATCTGACACTTGTCAGTCTTGCAGACACTGTTCCCCTAGTCAATGGGATAAAAGACTGTCACACTACAAAGGACAACATTTTTATTGTTCTGATAACCAAACCTTCCAGCTGGACTAGAAAGTAAGAGACTGGGATTTCTGCTGTCATAAAACCAGTCTAGAAATTGTCTTTTGTAGTTTTCTGACAAATATTCCATCCATACTTCCAGTTACTTTAAATCAAAGCAGAAGAAAAACAAACGTTCTTGGTATTGGCAGATCATATAAATGCATTCATGAAACCAAACATGTTAAAAAATTGATAAAAAAAGGAAGCTGGTAGACAAACAGGAAAGCAGAAAAACCACAATGTAAGTACACAGAGACAGAAGTTTCCCTAGCAGCAACAGGACTACACAAATACTTCCTAAATTGAAATTTTAATATGTATAATCAACCACTTATGGTTTGATTAGATGATCTTGGAGGTCTTTTCCAACCTTCATGATTCTATGGTCTTGTGGAACAGAAAAGAGATTAATCAATCTCTCTTGTATTCTACTATACTACAAATCAATTTAGCCTTTTCAAACCAGAAAAACTCCTATATTTAAATGAAGTTTTAGCTACAATTTCTTTGGATTACTAAAACCAACACGTTTTCAAACTTTCAAGCAGTTATAGACTTTAAGATGTTACAGAATCAACTGCAACTTTGCATATGCAGAGTACTTTTCTTCACTTCAGTACTGACACTCAAGCACCAACAGTAAAATATATTAAACACTATATGGCCTCTGAGGAAAACAAAACCATCAAACCACCACTAGAGCTCACTCAGGATGAAGTTAGTATCCTCACTTATTATTCCACTGCAGCAACAGCAACCGAAAAACCCAAACACAAGCAGCTTGGTTTCAAGAGAAGGGTAAGAGTTGTTACATTATCCTTCCTCTTTACAGGCACAGCAAACTTCTACAGGTTCCCAGGGCACACAGTCACCCAACCACGTGTCAAACTGGGGTACTCAGGGACAAAGGATGTGACAGAACTGAAATACCACTTGATAGATCAGATACTTCTGCAAGTGCCCTGCGATCAGTGGCAGCGTTTCACCATACTCCTGTCACTTTCCAAACGGAGTCTGATTCAAGCCACAAGCACTCTAAGCACTTAATGAGTTACCACAGTAAATTAACACTCGCTGCCTTTGCCAGACACCAGCACACCAAAGAGCAGGAACAACCTTGTCCCTGCCCAAGTCCAGAGGTCTGACCAGCAAGTAAAAGCTCCTTCCCACCACATGCAAACACAGTTTATCTCAGTAGAGGTGAAGATAATTGTTTCATCTCTCCATTCGTACACTAATGAGGGTAGCAGCCTCCATAAACAGCTACACCCCACTGAGAACTGCCTGGCCTGCACACAGCACTCAGCAATTATACTTCACAACCTCATTAGAGTTGAAATTACAGGAAAGAAAATATTTATCTACACAGTCTGAGCACACTTGCAACTGCCATGCTGCCAGGGAATCTGAAAGGATCTTATTCATAACTGTGTTTAGTGCTAATAACAGAATGAAAAATAGCAAACATCAAAACATGATGGTGTACAGAAGTCCAGTTATAAGATATTTTACCTGCACCATGGTTCAAAACTTAGCTGGATGGAAAAATATTTATTTCATAATAATAGGAAAATATGACAGCTTCAAGAACAATGTTCTGGGTTTTTGTAAAAGAGAAACTATGAAAACAAACTTTTAGCCTATTAAAAATTATTTCCACTTCCAGATGTTGATTTAATCTCTTTGTATCTCTTTTGTACAACTCCTTTGTCAAGCACGAGGACTAAAAACTATTGGAAAACTGCTAGAAGCTTCTAGGTTTAAAAGCTAGATATTCAAAGCTGAAGTAACTGGTGTAAAAACTGTGTGAATTCTCAGGTTCTGGAGAAATAGGAGTGCAGGAACTACACTAATATCAGCAAAGTGTCTTGTTAACATTCACCTGTGGAAGTAGAGAGACTTACATAACCCAGGCATACCTATACAGTAACTGCAGGAGATTCACAAGGAATGCAAGGAACTGAGGAAAAAACATCTTGACCCTCTACAGCACCTTTGCACCCTTACTGATCAAGACAATGCCTGAGTATAAACATGCTTTTCTTACCTCATAAGGCAGTTTATCAAAATATCCATTAGTTGACCATTCCCTGAGGGTAACAATGCTGAACTGTTTGTTAAGGGTGTCCATTCCACAGCCAAACTTTTCTTCATCCTCCTCTTCATCTATATCATTCATATCAATCATGGAAGTCTTAAGTGAGAGCACAGGTCTCTCTTTCACACCATGTAGTACCACAGCATCCAGTTCAGTGTAGTAGTCCAGAAGAGAGCTGTTCACTTCCAGTCGGATTAAGTTTGTGGGGAAGTTTATCTGTTTGATACAAGGTGTGAACTGCCGAGCCTGAGGACCATTCACCTTTGTAGGTGCCTCAGACCAAAGTATTTCCCATCTGTGAAAGAAAAATTACACACACATATAGTACAGGGATTAAAAGCAAAGTTACTCAAGCAATTCCTGAATGCAGTTAAGAGGGCTGCAGCTTCTGTCAGAAGTCTTTAACAAGTGAGAAACATGGTTGAAAAGACAATGAAATCTATGTTTTCCCTAGATTTGATAAATATCAAGAATGAGCTTAACAGGGCACACTATTCATGGCCTTAGCATAATTTCTCTGTATTGCTAACTAACAAAACAAGGCGTAAACTCACAGTCATCATTAACAAAACAAGCTGTATACTCACAGTCATGAATTTGTCTTGCTGTTACTCATGCAGGAGTTTTTCTAACATCTCACAGGTGAGGTAACCACAACACATGGATTACAGATGTCTTCATAACGATGGCATGTTAGTGCAATTATACAGGGAACACTCTTGCCAAGTAACCTAAACATCTGATCTCTCCTACCTCCCACAGAAAAAAAAACAAACAAGAAAAATAACCCCACAACTCAGGCTCTAACATCAAACCTGTTCAAATTACAGTATTGCAAGCTAATAATCTAAATCTTACTTTGTTTATCTGTCTAGGCAAGCAAAATGCTTCATTTGCCTTTTAAATACTTTTAAAAGTAATTCACTGTCAAATTAGCAAAGAAAGAATTTTCAAGTAATTTTTTTAAGGATCCTTTGCAAAAAACCACTAGAATTTCCAAACTGCTACACTGAAGTTTTTCTCCTCTTTAGTCCAGTGACAGAAGGAGGTTCAGGGAATGCATAGAACTACCATATATATAT